AAGCAACTGCCATGTGATTGGTTGATTAGATAATTGCATTAATGAGAAATTGAACAGGTGTTCCTAATAATCCTTTAGGTGAGTGTATATACAACCCCAATTCCAAAAAAGTTGGGATGTTGTGCAAATTGTAAATAACAACAGAATGCAATGATATAGAAATCTCATAAACTCATATTTTATTCACAACGAAACATATAAAACATATCAAATGTTTAAAGTGAGACATTTAACTATTTCATGAAAAATATTGGCTCATTTTGAATTTCATGACAGAAACACGTCTCAAAAAAGTTGGGAGGGGGGCAATAGGAGGCTGGATAAGTTAGTGGTACAAAAGCCCAACAGCTGGAGGAAGAATTTGCAAATAATTAGGTCAATTGGCAACAGGTCAGTAACATGATTGGGTATAAAAAGAGCATCTTAGAGTTGCACTGTCTCTCAGAAGTAAAGATGGGCAGAGGATCTCCAATCCCCCTAATACTGCATTGACAGAAAAAAGTTCCTCAGTATAAAATTGCAAACAGGTTGAAAATATCATCATCTACAGTACATAATATAATGAGAAGATTCAGATAATCTGGAGAAATGCGTAAGGGATAAGGTCAAAAAACCATACTGGATGCCGGTGATCTTCAGAACCTCACGAACAGGCATGATTCTGCAATGGAAATCACTAAATGGCCTCAGAAACATTTCCAGAAAACATTGTCAGTGAACACAATTCGCCTTGCCATCCATAGATCCCACTTAAAAGTGTATCAAAGAAGAAGCCGTGTTTGAAGATGATCCAGAATCACTGACGTCTTCTCTGGGCCAAAGCTCATTTAAAATGGATTGTGTCTAAGTGGAAAACTGTTCTGTGGTCAAACGGATCTAAATTTGAAATTCTTTTTCGCCAATACTGGCAAAAAATGCTGGATCGGATATCAGGGACAGGGGAGTAAGAACTCATTCTGATTTCCCCTCACAGATATATCTAGTCTCAAAAAATCTTGTAGCCTTGTGCAATTAATTTCTAATAATAAGTCCAAAATGTATTGCTCCCAGTGTGTAAAGTAGTAACTTTGTACATAAAGGAGCATAATGTAGATGGTTTGTATATTATATAAAAAGATCTTGACCAGAAATGACAAAGTAATTTCACATGCAAAGTATACAGTACAGTACTGTTTGTTTAGATGTTGGAAATAAAGACTTTATGTTGTCGTTCAGCATTTTTAATATTGGTATCAGACCAGAAAAAAATATTATGCCATCTTTAGGCTATATAAACGTATTCTGATAATAGATATTATAGACAGATATTATCAATACTTTTTTGTGACAATAATCAATAATACTATTTCAGATGTCGGGCCAACCCTCCTGGTGTATTCGAATAACTGAACCTACAGAATAAGAATTACATAAACTGATTCTCTCTTTCCCATCAGGTCAGGTCCAGAGCTCTGCCTTCAATGGATGTTTTGTCAGCAGGATGATATGGATACTTCCACCTAAGACCAAATGTGCAAAGAGAAATTTCAGTCCTTTTAGTTCTGCTTTAATAGAACCCTTTGTACATCTTCCACTCATCTAAAAGACCAGAGAGACGTCAGCATGGGGCTTTTTTCAAGCCATTCGTATCCTGAACGAGGACTCCCATAGCTAACAAATCACTTTGCATACTTTTACCAGACCACTGTCATTGCACATCTGCTGATATATTGCTCTCTATTTTTGTCTATTTTGCTGGCAGTTTATCTTCATTATTGTTTATTGTATTTTATTCTGAGTTTATTTAAATTTTACTCTTATCTTGTTAACACATATGACCCATGAAGCAGGTGGAAAAGCATTTCACTGCACAATGGTACCGTGCATGACTGCACATGTAACAAATATGAATTTGAAACTCCTGAGCAATTAAACCTAAATGAAACTAAAAAGGCGGGGTGCCTGTGTAGCTCAACCCAACACAAAATGTTTTTAGGCAGCAAAACCAGATAAGCAAAGGTATTTATTTTCAAAAGCTACAGTGCTCCACAGAGCTGTGGCAATTAGTAATCTGTGTTCATCATAGCATTGACAGAAGGACTGAAACACAACACCTACTAAATATCAGCTAGGACAGAAAGGTTTTCGAACTGTGACACCAATGGCCAGGTAACAATAATGCTTGCTTTGTTTATGCTTCGTGAAACCAAATAAGAAGTGATGCAAACTCTTCTGTGAAGGCTTTGAAAAATTTACATACTAAATTGCATTGCAAATAACAGAGCCCTTTGTACATCATGTCACACCAAACATGGGTGAAACCAGTGGTCGAGGCCCAGATTAAACTGTGTTTCCACCTGGAGTCTGCCCACTGAATGCACCTAATATAACTGGTTGATTTACCATTAGGCGAGTGACAATTACACAGAACAATTTAGGGGGATAATGGGGGGAGGGGGGCGTTGGTATATTTTCAAAGGGGATGGATTTTGTCATTTTTCCCCATGAGGGTGTGGCAGCGACACGCATCCCATGACAACTCGAGCCCTGTGTGAAACATCTATTTAAACAGTGACTCCTTAAAAGACATTTACCAACATTTTTAGCCCTCAGATAAAAATCATAAAGAACTAAATATACTAACTAAATACTAAATAAAGAACTGATTCCATTCAAAAATGAATGTCACGTGACTGTTTCACAAGAAGTAGACAGGGAGGACATTTTTATTATCCAATATAGACATGAAGTGGAAAACCTAAAGTTTTAAGTCTAACAGTCCATCACACAACAGCATCACCTGCTCCAAAAATACTGACTGTAATATCCCTGCTGCTAACTGTTAGGAAAAACAGTCGATTAAGTTGATGGTTTTAAGTGATCCCATCATCTGATTATCCAAAGTCAGGGGGCGTCACTGCGCTTCCCACTACGGTGACACTTGTATAACATTAAGTGTTTCATGCAGGGAAAAAGTTAGACGGCTCTAATAATATTCAAACTACACTACTGTGGTTGAGATGCATATTCATTTTTTTTATTCATACCAACGCATTCTTCCCTGCAATTCTCCCTTTAAGACAACCTTACAAATACTGAGAATTTTCTCTGACAAATTATTTAAGATACTGGTTGCTCCAAAATTGCACCAACACGACGATCAATAAAATAACTCCGAGTAACACAACAAACGCATAAGCACAAGCTTTAATGCTTTACAGGGTCAAGAAAGAGTCCGATCGGGCAAAACCATACTATCACTGGCAAAGGAGACTTGTCACAAAAAGCACACTGAAACTTAGTAAAGCACAGTTGACTGTACATCCCATCTGGGTACTACGGACACAAAAGGGAAAAACCGAGGGAAAACACACCCAAGAAAATAGATCCAAAGAAACCCTTAACGTATATGTTAAGTCCAGTGCCAGTCTTAATGTTGCACATACTTAGATGTTAAATATTCAATTATGTAAAATTTGTACATATTTGACCCCCCAGTGAGCTTTATTCCCAGATGAACCGTACACTCCTTAAATACGTAAAGTTCAGGGTCCGGTTATCCTGACACTCAAACGTTTAAGGGGGCATTTCTACCAACAAAAGGATCTTTCGTGTTGCTACTCAAAGCCGGTGTCAGTTTAGCCAACTCGAATGAAATATTCCAGGATACAACTGCAATTAAAATGTATTCATTTTATATGTGCGCTCTGCAGCCAAAACATCTATTCTTTTACCAGCTGGCATTTAACCTTAGTTAATTTAATGATTTTCTGATGCGTTCGCTGATTATTTTGTGTAAAAGTCGATATCTATATAAAAGCATGTCGCGGTAAGCTTTTCAATTTCAAAGCGCAGCAACCCTTCAGACTTCAGGCCACGAGCTGATTGGACAGCAACACCAA